TTATATAAGAATCTCTATTGAGATCCAGCGGACCGCCATTGATGTACAGTAAAGATTGCATCTTTAGATCTCCGATCTTGTTCACAAATTCACGGACTAGTGCTGTCTGTAAGAATTTTGTAGAACGCGTTAAGAATGACAAATTATATTCTCTGTATTTGCTGCAACCAAGCCGCATAGCTTGTGTTCCACTATTTGCATTCACACCTGTGCTGTGTATATATATTGCCTTGGTTTGGCTCTGTAATCATTAGTGGTTGTTTGACTATGCCTAAGCTGGTCGAACGTTTCGTTTCAGTCTGTGTAACCCTGCTGCACTGATGAGGCCTGGAAGGCCAAAACGGATCCGTCTGCAGATATTGGGATTTCTTCCAGTGGATGCTTAGTTTATTTTTTCATTCTGATCGGATTTTTTCTACTGTCACGTTTTAATTGCTCTTGCATATAATTGGTCAGTTAATGACAATCTTGTGGCCGGATTTGAACATGAGATCACCTCTCGCTGCAATATCAAGGCGAGTATCAAGACCTCAAGTTATGTGCCCAGATCTAATCCCAGGCACTTTCCCTCATGCAACTGATTGAAATGCTCACACATATTGAAGCTAAATTTAAGGCAGAAAGGCAGGTCGCAGCTCAAAATATTATTAAAATTTGGTTTGCTGCCTAGCACTGTAAACACAATATAAACATAGATAAATAATAATAACAGTGCTCAAATTGGATCATGATGTTATAATCGTGTCAAGCATAGCCTTCAACGAAATGTTCCTTATTTTCAGTTGTATGAAAAAAACTGGTGGGATTCGAACATGCAACCTGTGGAAGTGTCAAACAAATACTGTTCAAGTAAAAATAAATCCGCTTTCGATTAGAATCAAATACACAGTAAAGATAGATATTCAATTGAGAATTTATTTCACATACACAAACATTCATTCCTTGACCTAAGTTCATTTAACCTTACCTTTTAAAATGTGGGTGATATGTTAAAGAGGTATCTGAATGAAACAATATCATTAATAGTGGGGCCACATGACTCGTAATTTATATAATGGCAAAATCATAGATCCAAACGACCATGATTTTCACATGATAGTTGCAATTATTACCCAATTTTGAGAATTTACCTTCCTCAGTATTCAAAGAAAATGATAAATATATCCTAAAAATGTTTGGATACAATGGCATAATATCAAACAATTGCATAATTCGTAATAAATCTATTTGTTTCTATATATATTCATTTTAGCGTCTATATTGGGTACAGCATATTTAATTGGTTACGTAAGCTTTGTTTCCATACACATCGCTACAGCGTTTTCACTGCAATCCTTGTATTGCGTAGCTATCCCTGATGCAATCGGGAACGCTCCCTGATTCAACTGACTAATCAGTGATAGCGTGTAGCAATTTCCATGGAAACCAGCCTTAAGAACATCTGTCGCTTTCCATGCCACAGGCAATACTTCCATCTCGAGGATATAAAAACATACAGAAATGGCTGTCATTAAATTGGTCAATTAAAAACTACTGTAGTATAAACTAAGCAAGTACATATTTTATGATTTAGCAACTGTTTTTATAGTTTGGCTCCATATACACTACATATTTTATTTTTGGCAATTCTTTGAGAAAAACAATGTTACATACTGTATTTATTCGAATAAACGTCCCCATCCAGAATGTAATTTGGAATAAACACCCTCTAAAATAAATGACCAGAAGGAGTATTTGTTAACTCTACAAATAGTTTCTCAAATGATTTTGAGTTAAACTAATGTAAGCAATATCTCAACACCATTTTATCTGCAATGTTTTACTCTAGTAAAATTAAATCATTAGGATTATAGTAAAATAACTGGGCATCTGTTGAAATATAATATATATCATTTGAAACTAAGGAAATAGACGACCCCTCAAAACCCCCAGACAATAAATGTTCTAGGTTTTATTCGAATAAATAGGGTACATTTCATGTACATGTTTGTAACTAAATTAAATAGCAACTAACACAGCCTGTCATCTACTATAAAAAAAATCAGGCTTTAGAACATTAGCTAATTGGACCACCACCAAATATTAATGGAATGAATGAATCCATGCACTTGACAGATACAAATTAGCACAGTGTATAGAATTGAGGTGTACTTATGGCTTGCATCTCTCGGTGAACCTTGGGTAGAAGCAGGCATCTCTGATGTGGTAGCGGTTTAGAAGCCATGTTAGGAAGCGCTCAAGACCAAGTCCATAGCCTCCGTGAGGGCAAGTACCATACTTCCTCTACAGAAGAAAAAAATGGAAGACAAAATTATCAATTAATATTTACAAAGGTATTTTTTTTTTTCTCTGTGATTTTACGCGTAACAAAATAGAAGCGTCAATGTTCAGTAAAAGAAAGTATAAAAAGTAATTGTTTTTGAAAAAAGGGAATCCTAGTTGATACCATGGTTGTTACAGAATTTGTTAGCTGTCGTGACCAAAAGTGTCTTGTGGTACGCCAGGTCAATTTGAAATATTCAAGAAAATTTATCTGAAGTGATATTTTGACAAAAATTGGGTTTCAATTTTTCTGATAAGTTTAATATGTATGTTTCACAGTAGCAAAAGTTCCGAGTTGACTTTACTAAGGTAATCATGTTTTTGAGGCACATTATGTAAAGCTATATTTCAGAATTGATAGGAAAACCAACAATTTATCAGTTGTTTATCTTTAGAGTCTACTTTCTCCTAAATATGTTTTTAGACATCTGAACTTTAAAATGAACTCACTCTGGTTTCACTCAACCTAAGAACATGATTTAAAGACCAAAATGAAGCTTACATAGTCATCTATCTAAAGATTTCAATAACTCATTTTTTGTACCTCAAGGCTCACTTTGTCTTGACAGCTCACAATCGCATGCAGAAATCGCGAGATGCGCTATCTTTAGTTAACGGCCTTTGATGTCAAAATTGAAAAGTGATTGTTTTTTGCACGAGGGCACCATACACTGCATTCTTACAGAATTTGCAAGCAGAAATTGCAGAGAATGCTATCTTGTTATTCTAAGATATTTGCTATCTATGACATACACCTAAAGAGCGCAGTGTTGTACTTACTTGGTCTGTGTACCAGTAGTATGGAGTAGGGTCAATGCCCTCTCTCTTGTAACCTTCTAGTAGTTCTTCACCATCCCACATCCTCATGGAACCCCCTACAATTTCCCCTACATTTGGCATTAGAAGATCAACCTGCAATACAAAGTGAATGTATGTTCCTTTGTATTCTACCTAGTAGTTGCTTTATGTGTGTGCATTTATGAGAGTATCTGTCTCTGTGTACATGCCTGCATTTATTCAATTAATTTACTCAATTCCCAGGTAAACACTAAATCAAACAAAACAAAGGAACAACAACAACAACAGACTCAGGCAGACATATTACAGTACCCTGTGGATTACCATAAGTGTGGAACACTATTTAAGTGGTTCTCTAACTGTACACTGTACACTTATTTAAAGTTGATCTCTTAAAATTATACAATATAAAATTAGAAGATATAATTTATTTTTAAAAAATCAGACAAATATGACATAAGTTGTATGCTTGTATCAGTCCAATTGTATGTAGGCATCTTTCCCTGTGTATGTGCGTATCTGGGTATCTATTGTAAGTGTTACTTACCGATTCAGTCACCCTTTTGTCCTCAGGACACTTCTGCATGTAAAAAGACTTGATAGGGGCAGGGAATCGACACAACAGTATAGGCTGCAAATAATTTTAAAAATGATTTATCATTTACTGTTTAATATATTGAAAATTTAATTGTAATACAAAAACATTTAAACATTTTGGTACAATAAATATCAAATTACCATGAAAAAAAAGCAAAACAAAAGCAAATCAAGTTGAGAACAAATTAAGTTTTTATACAATTGTTGATAATAATTCTCAAACACTAACCTCATTAATTTTATCAGTCATCTTACGTTCAGGCATCTCAGGTATATCCTAAATGGAGAAGCAAATCAAATTGAATAATTTATAACATATGTTTCATTTGAATACCTGATGGAGACAACATATTCTCCTGTCTTTCTATTAAAAAATTGATTTAAAAAATCCTTAATTTTACAAAGAAATTATGTCATTGATGTTATCAATGAATAAACAGTCAATTTTTTTAAAAAAGAAAAAAAGCATACTGTTCTTATTAAGCTGTCTGTTGTGATTTATTTTAATGCAGTGAGCCGTTTTATTTATTCATTACTAGCTCAATCCTCTCTTGCCATTAAATTCTTGAAGAGTGTAATTCCTACTTAGTGCTCTAAACC